AGCAATTTATTATAATATACTAAAAATGTAATATTTGTTTTATTGTATTTAGATTTTGAAAGTAAAAGGCATTTATATATGAATTTTGTACATATTCAGGATTGGATATATTTGGGTACATTTTAGGCATTTCTTTATAAGCTTACCAGAACATACTTCTGTAACCAGAGCATTTCTTTATAACGTTTGGTTACTCGGCTTTGGTTACATGTTACCAAAGCATATGTAGCTATATCTAACGAGGCATTTATTTATAAGCTTACTAGAACATACTATAATAAAAAATAACAAAGTCAAAACATCCTAAAATTTCTAAAATTCAAATTCCGTTTAGAAATCCCCAAACTTAAATTAAATTTGACATATGACATTCAATAATAGGGAAACCATGGTATGCGTAATGTCACCACAGTAACCACAATACTGTAACCAAGTAAGTTGTAGTAAGCTTATAAAGAAATGCCTTTTAGGACCGATTCCACCGTTGTGTTAAACCAAGTTTAAAATTACATTTTTACATTAACAATGTCTTTTTAATCTCCGTTTAACACAACGGTGGAATCGACCCTTAACAAATTTGTTAGGTACATCAACTTATTTGGTTGCGGCAGGGTTGCCAACCGTACTGTAATTACCGTACTTTTACGGTAATTTCGATTATTGTACGGTACTCGGTCCAAAGTCATTACCGTACTTAAAAGTACGTTATTTACATAAAAAGTACGGTAAACATTCGGTATTTAGAACAGAATTAGCAAAGACTTTGAGTTGTGTAAGGGCCTATTCCATCGTTGTGGCAAACGAAATTTATTGACATTGTCTAATGTAAAAATGTAATTTTAATCTTTTTACAGCACATGTTCTTTAAAAGTACCTAGTTTTTATAAAAATATAAGCCGAAGCCTTTTTTTTTAGAAGCTAGGTTGAAAGACCAGAGGTTAATTAGAATATGATGAGGACCTATTTTTTTTAGAAGCTCGACAAAAATATATTTATACATAGTTTTTCTACAAAATAAAAGTGTACGGCATTGGGAGGCCATGTACGGTAATTTGAATTGCGCGGTAAGGTAAATGGAATTTGAAAAATTGGCAACCTTGGCTTGGGTTGCGGCAACACTGGAATGAACTGTCATTTTTCTATTTGTATTTAGGTCCGTTTAAGGTTATGAACAATAAAAAAATAAAATACGTATTATTTTTCTTATGAATTATCATTAAATCATATTTTGAATTTCTTTAGATCTGAATGAAATACATTTCAAAATGTCAATACCGCAAATTAGAAATTTTAACCTAAAGGTAATTATCTCAAAAATGGTAGGTAAGTATATTTTACAATTTTTCTGTCTCCTTTTTTCAGGTTCAATTTTTAATTCACTTCGTTTTTATGTCACTGGCTTCAATGGGAGGTTGGAGTTCTAATGCCTACATTTTTTACAATAGTATCCTTATTTTACTATTAATATGGAGTATATATCATGATCAAAGCCATGAACCAATACAACTGGTAAAATTATATTTCATTGTTTCGTGATTATTAAAATTTATAATAGAAATTAGGTACAACTGTACTATGTACCAGCCTAAGCAATCATGACAATTTACTACCTTGATTTGAATATGAATTAACAATTGCTGTGATTAAATTGGCAATAGTTTAGTATATATGTGTTAAGTTTGAATTTGAAAAGTACCTCCTGGAGAGGAGTAGAGCTAGTTTATTTTATTAGTCACGTGATCATCGAGCAAATTAAGCTTATGTGGAATAAAAGAATGGCTATAGATTTGTTTGTGTTTCCCATCTCCGGTTTTCTTTAAAATATGTCATACTTAATTAAACCTTCCATTTAAATCAAATTTGATCTCTCGTCTCATGGTTTTTGTTGCAAGTTGCAAAGTGAAGTTAATTTTTAGCTGTGGTATTTTTTACTTGTTCTAATTTCTGTCTGACATTTTTTTATAAATATTTTTGACTCTTAATAACCAAACACGTAAATAATTTAAAAAATAATAAACTGCAACACAAGAGACAATGAACGACTGTAGATCTCAGAGAAACTTTGTCAATACATTTACTCCGAAAGTTCTAAAATTTAATTCGAAGTAAATAGATCTTACTTGACTTACCAGATCTGCATTAAAAGACCACAGAGCAGATCTCATCAAGAAGCCACAGATGTATTAAAAGAATGGCTTAGAGTAAAATTAGGTACTTTTCAAACGCAGCAATGCAATTGACCTTTTTCGTTTTTGAAGTTCTCTATTACTCTTGCACAAATTCTACTTCTTAAAATCATCAAAACTTATTGTTAAGTTTCCTACCCTGAGTTCCAATTATACATCCTCAAATGTCATTTTGTTTTTGAGTTTAATAGTAATGGTAGGAGAGCAAGTGACACTTTTAGGTGTGTTATTTGTGAAAGGTAAAATTTTATTACAAATATATTGTTCATCTTGCCTTGTAGAACATGTAAATAGTTTGCTACGCAGTGATGGAACCCTCGATTATGACTGTTTAAAAAAGCCTGTGTAGAATATGCTGTCATAGAAGCACAAAATTGAAACTTTCAGATATTAATTTACATCAAAAGTTAGGAGAAAAAAGTTTCTTGAAATTCGGCACACAGTAGGTACTTTCTTGCTTGCTGACAGGGCATTTCACTACTAGATCGATTGCAACAAAGTATTTTCATCTTCTACAGGGTAAGAATTAACAATACGTTTATAATTAAGCCATCTGCAAATGTGTACTAAAAAAGTTTCACTGGCTCCCTACTATAGAATAGAATTTAGTTAACTGTCACTACAATAAATGATTAACAGCAGGTAACAACAGAATATAACATTATAACTTAATACTAACTTACTTATGCAGCATACATTCACCACTCACAAACACCAACACTCTCATAAAAACAAAAACATACATTTAAAACTAATACTAGCTACTGAACATAAATTATATTAGTTCAGTGATTGGATGAGTGTTCATGAAGTTCAATGGGCAAACCGCTTTTAATAATTCCTGGAATTCTAAAACTGAATAAAATACAATTCTTTGAAAGAAGTTTTTCAAAGTATTTTTGTAATTTAGATGACTTGAGGTCTTTATGTATTCTGGTAATATATTAAATAAATTAAAGTTAATTGAATTATATTCTGATTTTGATAACCTGTATCTTGGACCTCTAACATAAGTACCAATTCCTGTATTTTGTGAATGGCCATCACCTTGCATTGGTAGTAGACATAAATTTTTGTGTATTTCAATATATAGAATCGATGACAGTTGTTTAAAGTAACGATGACATGGGGTAATCGTCATAGCTATGAAGACTAGAGATAAGGAGGCGAATCGGCCTTGGTCAAATTTCAAATTTCCGTCCCTATTTTTATGGAGTTCCAAAAAACTACTGTAGTTGGCGGCTGGCAAAATAACGACGTCTATTTTCTATGCAAGTCAATGGGAATTAAAGTGATTTTTGTAAAACGAATAAAAATAAGCTGAAATAAAGAACCTGACTAAAAGTAACAATGAGTAACAAAAAACGGCAAAGCAGGATTTGCTTCGTTTCGGGTTGAAAAACGGGATATAAATCCGATATAAAATTAAAGAAAATACAAGGAAATAAAAATCCAATTCTTTTTAAAGCTCCTAGTGTAAGTAAAATAATGTATTTATTTATTTCTAAAAAATAGATATGTTTTGTAAAATAGTCACAACCCGTATTTTACGGAGTGTAGTTTATTTAATTAAAAAATTCTATAATAAAAAAGAATAAAGTCATAAATCCTGACTTTCAAAAAACAATAATTATACATTAAATTTAACTTACTAAAAAAGAAAATATGCTTTTTTTATGTTTTTTGATGTTAGATGAAAAGTTACTACTGTTTTTTTTCTTTATTGAACTCCAATTTAGTCATTGCAAATATTTTTTATAGGATCCTAAACGTTTAGAACAATGGCAGCATGTAATTCCTAGGGCTGATAAAGTACTGTCTAGTTATGATTCTGTTTGCGAGCTACACATTTTAGAAGATGATATTTTAAAATTTGATGAGACTATTTTAACTAATGGTACTGTTAACAAAATAAAAAGAGAAAGGCTGAGATTAAAGAACGAAGCAATACCATGTATATTCCCGAATCTCCCTTCATACTTGTCCAGTATTAGGAAAAGACGAAAACCACCATTGAACCGAACTGAATTTGTTAGAATAAAAAAAAGGAAGAAAATACTAGAACCTATTGCTAAAGAAACTATTCACCAGGATGATAAAATTGTAGTTGTCGAATACAAAATTACCACAAAACTGTTCTTACCAAATTTGACCATTTAACAAACCTTTTCAAATTTGGTCATACCTAATTTTCATTTTATTTATATAAAATTAAATAATGAATAGTAAATAATGTTTAACATAAAGACTCATTTATAATTATTAATACCAACAGTATTTTCTGTACTTTAGTTAGTAATTAAAACAAAGACTTATTTACAATAATTATAATCAATAGTATTTTCTGTGCTTTAGTTAGCAATAAACAATTTGATTTTTATTATTTTCATAAAATTTTGTAAAATCCCTAACTAAATATTTTCATTTAAACCGTGTCTTAGTATGCCCTCAGCCCTATTTAGCTTTAATTAAAGATAATTAGCCCTGCCCATCAAATTTCAACACTTATCATCAATAATTTGCATTTTACTTAAATAGGAATAAATAGTAAATACTGTATCAATTAAAATATGTAAGACTTATTAAGAAATAAATACAACACCATGTTCTGTGCTTTATTTAGCTATAAACAAGTTTATTTTTATTATTTTGACAAAATTATGTATAATTCCCATAAGAAGCCATGTATTTTGAACTACGTAAACCGTACCAGCGCCTATGCGGTTAATTATAAAAGCTCAATTGACGTGTGATTTTTGGGACCGTATTTTGAGCATGCCGATTCGCCTCCTTATCTCTAGTCTTCATAGTCGTAGCCAACCCAACAGTTGTAAGGCGAGGATAAGAAAGAGATAGCAGAAAGTGTTTGAAAAATTACTAGATTCAAAATTTCCGCGCTTTTTTCGCCCATGAGTAATGCGAAATTGTTGAATAATGGGAAAGATTGAAGTAAATTATAAAGTGAGAACTGTATAGATGCTACAAAAATGGTCTTGTAATGAATTACATAATATCGTCATTGAAGGCCACTTTGCAAGTAAAACGTGCAAATAAGGAATGTAGGACCATCCTTGCATTTTACCTTATCCTGTGCCTTGGCTTCATTACATTGGCCATTTACGTTAAATACTCCATAAATACATTCATCAACTATAGTCTTACTAACAAGAACAGGCGTGTTATAATTCAATACACTTTCTCTGGTATATAGTCTTGTCAAACAATATTCACTAAGTACGTTAATGACTTTTTCCTGTTGTACCTTTCGACCCAACCTCATTTAATGAAGTTTCCCACTCTATAACAGTGTTGTAGGTCGTTTTATGGGCATAATGAGTTTTCCTACAAGAGATTGGTGTTAAATATATAACTTAGTGTTATGGTCTTTTTAGTCATAATTGGTAATTAATGAGTTTTACCTGTTCTATTATAAATCAGAGATATGGGACATACAGATAGGAAACAATAAGAAGCACTTGCTTAACAACGACCAGCCCGAACGCAGTTAACATCTCACCCACTATGCGGCGCTTTTATCGATATCAAACAAATTATGCAGCGGGAACTTAAGAACCTCATAATAAAGGTTGTGAACATGGACTTTCATGTTCAGCTAAATAAATTTAAACTACGGTAAATTATTTATTAAAAAGAATACTACACTTACAGTCTATTATCGATTAATTATTATTATATATTATTTATATTATAAACATAATTTTTCGTTTTATAAAAGGAATTCGGCAAATTATTTTTCACCTGTTTATTAAAAACATGTCCTTTTGAATAAAATTTAAGGTCTAGCCTGCCCACTGATTTATTTGAATGGCCGCGGTATTTTGACTGTGCTAAGGTAGCATAATCATTATTTTTTTAATTGAAAGCTGGAATGAAGGATTGAATAAAAAAATAACTGTCTCTTATAAATTTTATTAGAATTTTATTTTTAAGTTAAAAAGATTAAATTTATTTAAAAGACGACAAATATTGTTTAATTTTTGATTGTTATTTGTAACTTTAACATTTTTGTTCTTGTTTTCAGAACGAGTGGCCAATGGTGTCTCATTTTTAAAAATGTTGAATGCAACTCCATAATGGGAATTTAAATATTTTTC